AGAAATGATACGATGTCCTTTTAATTGGAAGGAAAGTTCCTTTGCTTGTGAAAATTAAATTCTCCACAGCTCGCAGTTGCTTTTCAGGCTCTTCAGCTTGTCAGTGAAATTGTGTAATCTGGTAATAGCATGCCTGGGGCTTATTGCATTTTCTTGGGCAGCGGTATCAGCAGATGATGTGCTCTGTTGATTTTAATCACATTGGGGTTGATCCTGATCCCACTGACCCGGGTGTAAAGGCAGAGCATTTTCATTGACTTTCCCTGAAATAAATATCTCTTAGTGTAAGTGAAATCTGAGTTGTGTTCATTGCATTTATGGTTCCGGTGTAGAATCTTAAGAAGTCACCAGAGAAAGGAAGGCCTAGATGGCTTTTTCCATCTCTTTGTGACAACTTGCTTATTCAAGCAGCGTTCCTCTTTGAGCAGTTGTTACACTTGTTGTGTGTCTGCCAGCGCGCGTGTGGCAAAGGCTCGAGGTCGTCCTGCTAAGTGCACACGGTAGCTGTCTGAGCCACTTGGAGTTTCTCTGAGGCTCCTGCAATTTATCACTATAATTCCTCATTATTCATAACCTTTAGGAAGTCCTCTGCTTTTTTATTACTTTTTATTTTATTTGTAAATCGACAAAAATAAACTATTGAAATGTAGGACTTCATCCTGAAGTTGTTTCTTCCACGTCTGCTATTGCCAGTGGATGTTCTGACTTCATAGCAGGGACTAAGATGTTAGCTTTGTGCAAAAGGGAAATGTAGCTTTTTGGCTGCAGACTGTATAGCATGGCTTTAGTGGTACACGCGTGAATATTTGCTATTTAGGGAAGCTTAACCCTGGAAGCTTCTTTTTTTTTTTCTTCTTTTTTTTCTTTTTCTTGAGACTCATGAGCCAAACTTTATCCTACTGATAATGAAAATCAATTGAAAGTCCGTGGTTGTTTTTCACTTGTGCTTCTGAAAGTATCCTATTTCAGTATTTTAGGATCAATAAAAGGTGATGCTAGATCAGGGTCTGAGATATTTCTGTTAGTAACTACTATTATGAGTAACTAGTAATTAAGTAGTAACCAGTTTCTTGTGTATCTGTTAATAAATTGGTCTAATGTCATTTTTTAAAATTTTCAGAGGAATTTATTTGCATTTTCCAGGTATTTTTCTCCTTGTTTTCTAGGAATAACTCCTCTCCTAAGTGTGTTTTCTTTCTAGGAATCTATTATCCAGTTTTAAGAATTCCTCTTCTCCCAGCTTTTTAGGAATGTGATCCATTCTGCTTCTTCATGTGACTATTACAGTCTTTCTATTTAAATTGAAGATAAAAACATATTATTGTATCAGCAAACTGTATCCTGAACTCACTAATCTTATTTTAGAAAATAACTTGTCTACTTAAGGAATTTGCTAATTTAGAGAAGAAAATTAATGACCGTTAAGAAAACTGTCTATTTAATAGTGGAGATATACTGACGAGTATTCACTAGAAACCATATTTTGGGTCACTTCAGAAAGTTTTGTTGTTGTTTTGTTTTGTTTTAGATTTCTGTATTAGTAAATCTCTCCTGCATGAATAGTTGTGTATAAATTTATTGACTGGTAGGATCAACTTTTTTATTTCAGCATTGAGCCCTTTTATTTTTTTTCTAAACAGGAGGCTGTGATTAGTTCTTGTGTTTCTTTCTAAATAATCAGATTTGGGGAAAAGCAATGTAACATGAAAATATTTTTGCTACTTTAATAGAAGAGTTTAGAGTGAGCTGTGTGTGGGCAGAGACCATCGGCTTGCTTTGTATGCCAACTCCACTGAAGTCACAGCCTGGCTTTTTGTGTGCTGTAGGTCTTGCTCTTTTATAAATAACACTGCAGGAGGAGGATACAGTATTAATTCATAGCTCTTGCAGGACATGTCCTCTGTTCAAAAGATTTTTTTTATATATTATTATTTTACAACATTGTGTGGTAAGTGGCATTATCTGAATTGATTATCTGAAGGAATTTGGAGGAGGATGCTGATGTAAATTCTCAGATCTCAAAGGAGATGTTTTCTCTGAGAGAAGATTTAATTTTTGACTGAGTTTAGAAGCAGATATGCCAAAAAGTAGAAGTAATCAGTAACGTTTAAGACTCAGCACTTTAGTGGTGTAGATGCTAAAAATCATATTGGAATCGAACCAGAAGATGGTCTAAGCTATTATATTGTGATATGTGGGCCAAGGAGCTGCTGCCTTTCAGCAGCAGGATGTGGAAAGTTGGGATTCGTGGTGTGGGGCTGCCTTTATTCCCTGGCTGCTCAGGTAACATCTAAATACAGCTGTGTGAGCTTGTGTTCCCCTTGGATCCCTCTCCAGCGTATCTGTGATCAAAAGGACCAAAAATACTCCCAGACGATGAAGGAAAAATACCTTCAGATCGTTTTTTTTGATGATATTAATTCACAGTGGAAAAAGAAAGCAAGCTGCAGGTGTCCTAGGGAAATACCTCTAGGTGCCCAGAGATATTGGCTGGTAGCATTTGCGCTCTCTGCTCTTGTCTTGTTTGTGTCACAGGCTTGTTGTATTGTCCCTGTTTATTAAAAACAAGGTAGATATTTATCTGCTCCTCCTGTACAGCTTTTTAGTTGTATGAAATGTGCATTTGTCCTTGTTACTTAGTAAGGCAGAGAATTTGCTGTTTGAACAAACTACAGTTTGGATATTTATTACTAGTACTGTGTGTTCTTGATGCATGATGCTGTACAGCATTTTTTTTTCTGCCCAGAAAGCTTTCTGTCATGCCGTCTGTTCATTCTTTAATTGGTTAATTAAATCTGTTGTTATGGTTCCTAGTTTAAGTGATTAATAAAACATTGCAAAATACTCTATTAAAAGCTTGCAGACATTGACCTAGGCCTAGGGTTTGCCTGATGTCCTGGCCTGTTCCACTGATGCTGGAGGGTAGCACATGGCTCTCGGGATACGATTCAAGCATAAAGAAAAGGAAGGCTCAACCAATGCCACGTGTAGGATCACTTTGATTTTTACTCTTGGCAATATTTTTATTTAAAGCAGCTGCAAGTACTTTTCTTTTTTTAAGGTTTGTTTTGTTTTATATTAATACAATATTAAAAGAAGTGTCTCAGAGGTTTTAACTCTGTTCAGCAACATTTCTTAGGAGTCAAAATCTTTGTCCAGAAACAAAACAAAATAAATTTATAATTTTAGCCTTTTTTATGTATATTCAGAATATATAAAGAGAACAAAAATATTTCTGTATATCATTAAGCTCATCTCATCCTTGGGCATTGCTTTGACATCTCCTTGGTTAGTTCCAGAGGATCAAAGATTGTAACACTTTTATCATGTTACCGTTAAATTCTTGGATGGCAGTAATAAGAGCACTAATATTGTCAGACTTAAATATGGAAGTAGGGTATTAATAACATTTCATTTAAATTGCAGAATGTAGGATATCTAGTGAGATTAGAAACTCTCATTATAAAAGCAGTATATCAAAAAAGAACATACTCTTAAGTACTTCTTACCCACATGTAAGGATTTTATATTATTGTTTCCTAAATAAGCCATCTGTCATTCAAAAAAAAAGTTGAGATCTGGGAAGTTAGAGGGTAGAGAGGAATGAAGATTTAAAGATACACAAATGACATCTGAGCTTTTCCGTGGGGTGCAGTGGCATGGAGGATATATTGCAGAGTGCAAACTGAAATACAGTCCTTGTTCTCTGCAGAAATACAGGCTGTATGCTCTCACCTAAGTTAATCTTCTTCATTTTCTTGAAACCTATATCCTTCTTCTAGCTCATTTGTCTCTGTCATCTCTAAAACACTATCTCCTTTACAGTCTTCAGCAGTTAAATCCCCAAATTGCCTGAGACAAGGGATGCTCCTTTTCATAACTGCTGGCATTTCTCTGGGCAGGGCAGCAGCTCCTTGGCTGCTTCAGCATGAGGAGTAAGAGCTCCGTAGTTGACGACTCCAAGTGCAAGTGCTCGTGTCCCTGTCCTGAAGGAAGTGAAGCAGTGTCCGCAGTTGAAGGTAGTTTTCTGTTCCTCACTAGCATTATCACTCTGGTGTACAGGAGCATGCACAACTCCTCCCTTTTAGGTGGACAGCTTCCACATGACATATGCCAAGAATTAGAGGTATCTTATAGTCCCCTGAGTAATCTAATTCTTTCAGATATTGCCTCGTCTCAGTCCTGCGTCGTGGAGGAGCTGAGCCTTGGCCTTCTGGCCTCAGGATGTTTAGATGTGCCTGCCTTTTTAGTGTTCTCAACACCTTTGAGCTTCTTGCAGCTCCTTTTTTGAGAAAAGTAGACTTTGAGGAATGGTGGCTCTCCAGTGGAATTAGAGTCCTTTCAGTGTCACCATCTTGGCAGTATTCTTGAATTGTGTTCTCATGGCACCGCTTGGGAGCAAAAGTTCACTTTAATTTGACGCTTCAGATCAGTAGCTTTCCAGTTTTAATGAATCCTTCAAAAATATATTGCATCCCATTTGCTTTGATGGAAAAATATGTTAGAACTTTGTACTGTCAGATGGAAAAAATACTTTTTTGAGCCTGAATCCAAACAGTAATCTGTAGATAGACAAGCTGAAGTATAATTTTTGACCACATTTTTTCTTTTCGCAGATCTGCTGTTCAGACCAGGATGCTGTGTTGCCCAAATGAATCTCCTCGTCAGTGCAACAGACAGTTGTAGTTAGGTGGTTCTTCTACCATCACTTAGGTTTTATTTTGTTTCCTCAAGCAGTGGACGCATCCTTGCCAATCTGTGCATTGTGTTTTAGTTTGGAGAGAGCATATATAAGACTGAACAGATGGCCGAAAGCAGTCAAGGGAAGACTATAACATGTTTCTTGTGCTTGGCCTCGTTTCAACCGAGCAGTGGTGAGGATGTTTGCCCCTGTTGCAACCAAGACCCCACATCTTCTGGAAGGGTATTACCGGAGACGTCTGAGCAAGCAGCCAGGGATGGCACAACCTCCCTGGATGCCTCCTTGCCTCACGTGTTGAAGGAATCCGTTTCTGTGGAGGAGGTAAGCAAATTAGAATCGGATCTCCCTTTTTATTTTCCTATTTATTCATTAAGTTTGTATGCAAGAGTAGGTATTCTTTCATAATGTGTAGTTACTGATGCTCATTTCCATGTAAAGTGAGGATGAGTTCCCCAGTGGGCTCTCTTAAGGAGTATATAAAAGGAATGGCTATGCGAATTCTCTTATATAGAGAACGTTTTTTGCACTCTTGCATGTATGGAGGATGTGACCTTGTTTCCAGTGGTCGTAGAAATCTTGTTCCCCAGGAAGCGCAGATGGGATGGTAATAGCAACAGCAATGTAAGGCACAAATTTTACAGCAGAAGGATCGACCATCTATGATGTCTATATAGAGCATGTTTATATAATATGCCTATTAACTGAGCAATCTAGTCATTAGAGGATGTATTGAACAAATTAACTTAAAATACCAACTTTTAAAAACTACTTATAGAGACCTATAGCATTATGTTTTTACCTCAAGACGATATGTGAAATGGGATGAATTAATATTTTTGAAGTGGTGTAATGGTTCGTGGAGATATTCATGTGATGGTATCACATCTTAATTCTTTAGTTCAGTCAGAAGGTTTGTCTATAAGCCCCATATGTGTTTTTATTGCTGCGTAAAGTGATGAAGAAATGTTAACTCCATAGGGCACTTTCGGCCTGCAGGAGACCGTTAGCAATTGCCTAACTTATGTTAGATTTTGCTTATAGACCATAAAGTTTTAAGTTAGACTAAGAAAATAGGTCTGGCTAACTGTATAGGCAAAACTGAAAGTTGAAGAAGTAAGTGAGATTCTGTTAATGCTGCATCAGAAATAATCAGGTGATACCCAGAGGTTAGTCAGTTCCAGATTCAGTGAATACGTGTGGTCTTCTGAATTGAGATTATTCATTGACCGAAGCCCCAAGGAATTGAATTGTGAGGTTATATGTCTAACAGCTTTGTTGAATAGTACTTTAAATGCGGCTAGTCTGGTGGTTAGATGTACTGAGAACGCACACATTCAGTTCATTTAATGAAATTTGCATATTCATCACATGGTGAAAATCAAGCTTTCGAATTAAGAGTCAGATTTTGGATGGGAAAGGCAATTTTAATTTTTTTCCTGCCACCCACTATACCCTCTGATGTCTTTAAAATATGGTACTCTGCAGCTGTATGATAGTGTGTAAATAATAGCATTACACTACAATAAGAGTAAGTGGAAAAATTTAGACTCAAGTTAGATTTAAAGCTGATTGTCTTTAATGTCTCTGTAGTCCATTCTTATTGATGTACAGAGTCTATTTTCATATCATTCCTGCAGTAGTTATTGCATTGATTGGAGATATGTTCATCTTACATCATAATCTTCTCTTTAATGTTATGGACTCCAAAATTTTACAGTTGGAGCCTTTAAAAGCTTTTGTTGGAGGAGTTTGTATTACATATACATCTGAAAAGGATAAATTGGAAAAAGCACTTAAACTGAAATTTCAGACAAAAATCCAGCATTTGGGATATTAATGTAAATGGGTCCGCTTTCAGGTAGCATTTCTAAATACATGGATACAAAGTAACCATTATCTTAAATGAGTAATATCTGAATATACAACCAATTATTTGTTTTTGTGAGTTGTATGAAAAATGTGGTTAATATGAGAACAAAGAAAGAAGAGTCTTAACAAAGAAGTTAGAGATACAGATATTTGCTGCTACTGCAAAAGAAGTTTCACATTTTGTTGAATAGTCATCCCTATTAGTGCTAGGAATTGAACATGTAGTGACTTCCTAGTTGGCTATTTGGCTGCTGGTTGAATGAACAGAACCCAGTTTTAGATCTGAGTTACATGGAAATGTGTGAGGAAATGAGATTAAAATGGAACTCATTTTTTAAAAAGACAAACAGCTTGTGTTTAGTGTTATGTTCATGGAATACCAACTTATTAAGAACAATTTTTAATGTGCAAATCCTCCATCACAGACATAGTTTGTGGCTTCCCATAGGCATAAGAGAAGCTTTTGGTTTGCGTTGTTTTGTTTATTGCCAGCACTTAAATGCTGCCGTCCAAACTCACCATCTCTGGATTCCCAGCAAAGTCGTTATCTGAAGTTGACCGGAGAAGTCCATGGGTATTTGTTTGGCAGTGGCAAATATTGTTCTGCATTTGATTTGCAGCCTCTTCAAATTATTCCATTGCCAACTATAATTAAGAATTTGCTTCTCCCCCTTCTTCCCTTCACAGCCTTGTAAATACCTCTGCCAAAGGTGAAGTGTCATGGTTAGCAAACTATTTGCAAACAATAAAGTTGTGGATACTTGAATATATGCTTAGCTTTAAGTAAGCTAATTATACAGTTGACACTACTAACTTGTCTAGATATTGTTGGTAAATGTTCTGCTCTTTGGAACATTTAAAAGTACAGTTAAAATTTTTGCATTCATTTTAAATGGCCTTTATTGCTTTTCTCTGTCCTCAGCCATACCAGAAAGTGATGTATAGTTATTGAAAAATGAAATTTCTGGGAATTGAGATGTCATGATTTCTTTAACATATCTTTTTGAAGAAAACTTAACAATGTAGGATAGAACTGACTCTATGCTATTAAAATTATATGTGCACTATTTATAAAATGTATTCTACAACACTTCTAACATATTAGTTGAATTAGCTCTATAGAATTCTGCTGCATTGACAAATGTAAGCCTTAACTAAGTCACTTCATTTCTAATTCATCCTGGACCAAGTCATTTCATTTGGCCATAAAGCAGTAGATCCGGTTTACTCTGAGGTAGAATATGAAAAGAGGCAGCAAAACTCTGCAAAAGATGAAAAAAAAATCTTGCAGAGTTTGGTATAGTTTTTGTAGCAGTCTTCCACAGCTTTCTATTTGTCTTGGGTTTACATGAGATTAATAAATACATTGATTTTTTTATTTTAAACATCTTTTCTAATACTTAGTATGCATTATTCCATGTTACTACTTTACTGTGGACTGGATTTTGATGCAACTGAAACTATGTAAGAATTTTTGAATACTGCATTCTAATAGTGCTTCCTTTTTCCCGTGAAGATGCCAAAATCAGAGCTAAGAGAACCTTACAGAAAAATGTACCCACAGTCAGCTCGCAGCCATAGCGCAGAGGTCAAGATCCCCCATATGCGAGTAAGTGATGGAGCTGCCATCCAGGTATGTAGGGTTCCTGGCTGCAGCGGGTACTCATGGGCTCCATAATGATTCTGTAGGTCCTCATCAGTGCGGGCTCCCCTGGCAGAACTTCAGGGCTCCCAGAAATTCTTGGCAAATAGCTGAGTACCTGACGCCCCCTCTGTCCTCCCGAGCCTGAATTTCATGCTGGAAAAAGAGGATAAATGCAGGAGAACAAGGTGGTAGCCCAGTATCAGCTGGGAGGGTATTCGTATGGTTTGCACCAAAGTAAATTCCAAGAAAGCAGAGGAGGTTTCCCTGGAAAGCACTGGGAGAAATCCGTATCAAGCAAAGGATAGGATTGTGGAATTCGGAAAGTGAATTTCTTGCAAAGCAGAAGTTGGAGTGGGATGAGAGGGGAATTTTCTGCTGTTTGGAATGTTTTTCTACAAAGCAGAAGGAAGGAACTTCCGGAAAGTAGCAGGGGAAATTCCTAGAAAGGAAAAGGGCGTTTCCTAAAACACTTGCGAAATTTCTGGAAAGCAAAAAGGAAGATTTCTAGAAAACATATGCCAATTTTTAAGAAAAAAAGAGGAAAATGTTTAGAGAGCAAGGGAAGTTTTGCAGAAAGCATATGGGAAATTCCAGAAAGTAAAAGTGGTGTTTCCTAGACAGCAACAAGAAATTCCTGAAAAGCAGAGATAGGATTTCCTAGAAAGCATATGGACAACCTCTAGAGAACAGAGGAGTTAATTCCTAGAAACACAGGGTTAATTCCTGGAAAGCACATTTGGAAATTCTTGGCAAGCGAAGAGATGGGGGAGATGGCTAGAAAGTTGTGGGGAGTTTTCCAGGAAAGCGTAGTGGGAAATCCTCGAAAGCATATGGGATAGTTTCTTCAAAAACACAGGGGAAATTTCTAGGAAGCATATAAAAGCAGAGGAGTGAGTTTCCCTATGAAAGAGGAGCATTTCCTAGAATTTCGTAGAAAGGTAAGGCGATAGCCTTGGAAAGCAGAGGGAATGTTCCTCGAACGTGCAGGTGATTTCCCGCAAAGCCAGCGGGCATTCCCAGAACCACGGCAGGTGTCGGCAGTGCCTGAGGGGCTGCCGGGGCCGGTGCCGCTGCGGCTGTGACGGAAGAAGCCCAAGCAGCAGGAGTGCTGGAATCGCAGTCACGCTGCGGGGGCAGCAGCAGTGGCACCAAGGAGAACAAGTTTTTTGTTTTGGAAATCATGTTTACGCGCTTGTTGCTGCCCTGGATCTAAACTGTCCACGCCAGCAGTGTTTTTGTATACTGACCATATTGTTCTTAGTATTTCAAAATTACACCTTGCATGTGATTTCTTTGGGTTTATGGTCATACACACTGTAATAGTACAGCTGTGGTTCATGGTGCAAAGATAGGAAGCTCATACTGAATTCTACCAATTGCTGGGCTGAAATCCCCCAGCAAGCATACATGGAGGCTGCACAAACGTTCAGTGTGAAAACCTGGCAATATTTTCACTGAAAGGTCAGCTGGCTCCTCTTCTACTACAGATATCTTTTAAATATTTAAATTGGAGAGTCTAGTTTTGAGCTATATGTTCTTGGCTAATAAATACTGTTTGTTTAAAAAAAAAAAGTTGCACTTTATACGTTTCTCTGTTTTCTTTAGGAAATCTATTCTTTTGGAAGGAAACTAGGACAAGGCAGCTTTGGGGTGGTAATAGAAGTAAAACACAAAGGCACTGGCAAAAAATGGGCTATTAAAAAGGTCAACAGGAAAAAGGTAAATAGCACGTAGATGAGTGATTTGTTTTAAAATCTTCCTCCTTAACTCTCTCAATGTGATTTCTTTTTTTAACAATCTCTGAGCCCCCTTCATATCATCCTGAACTTTTAAAGCTGTTATATTGGCAATAATAAATTCTTTAAAATTTTGGTTTCTTAAACTAGTTAGAAAAATACTTCAATCCCTGTCATCCTGCAACAGCCATGGAAATATTGAGTCTGATTGTGTTTAAATGGGATACTGTCATGAAGGGTAGATTAAATTCTTTTGTCTCATTGATACCAAATCCACCATGTTCCTTTTGGGTACAGGTATTCTTGGGACTCTGTAAAATAATTTTCGTGATCATGAGATTATGGAATATCAGCTCCATAGAGCTGGTCAGCTTACAATATGAATAATTACATTTTGTTTAACTCCATTGCCCCAACACCTTTATTTTTTGTTGATTTTAAAGGTGCATTAAATATCTTCTATTCTCATTAAATATCTCATATTATATTCTTTATTTAGGTCATAGGGTTACACTGAGTCATTGGATAGGGTGAAGATGCTTATGGTCGTGTGTGTAGATACTCCTGTGTCTAAAAGCTTTCGAAACATTTCACAGAATTGTATATTTGAAGTTATAAGGTCTTAGAAACCAAATTTACTGGATTAATTGAAGCAATCCTGAAATACGGTAGGATTTACTGTAGTGATGTTTTGAAATCTAATTGATTAAAATGCATGCTATCACTTTTTTAAAAAGAAATTGCTGTTCTTTAAAAATGCTTGTTATGATGTCTGTACAATGTGTTTTCTATTAATAACTAAGGCTGGAAGCTCTGCTATGAAATTGCTTGAACGGGAGGTAAACATCTTAAAAAGAGTGAACCATGAACATATAATACACTTAGAAGAAGTGTATGAGACACCAAAGGTAAGATTTCATTAATTGTAACACCTAGTATTAATACCCACATTGGTAGAGTGACAAACAAGCAAACAAACAAGTGACTTCTGTTCCAAGGTCATTCCTCATTATGTATCATATTATTGTCACATGGGACAAATCTTCTTACAACTCTTGGCCAAAAGATTGTGGAAATGTTTATATTTTATTTTTCGTTAAATTCTTTCTAAACCACTGTTGTGAGAAGCTTAAACTGGCAATTGAACAGAGGACAAAAAGAGTTTACATCAAAGGAAATCCTTGATTTTGGAGGATCTGGGGTACACTGCAATATCAGTGTACTCCAAACATTGGTAACATTTGGGGCAGGGTAATTGTCTTTTTGCCTTATGTTCATAAAATCTGGGTCATTGCTGCAATTGGAGCACTGCAGTTATATATGTTTTTATAACCTTAAAAGAAATACTGAACCGAGAAATAAGAAAATCATTACTTTGTCTCTTTATTAACATTAGCGGATGTATCTTGTAATGGAGCTCTGTGAGGATGGAGAACTTAAAAAGATTCTTCACAGTAAAGGACACTTTACAGAAAATGAGACAAGGCACATCATTCGGAGTCTTGCTTCAGCAATAGCATATCTGCACAAAAAAGGTAATTAAGTTCCTCTGTCTTTCCCCTGTGCTCATAATTTCGAGTGTCCGTATGCTCCGCAACAGTTACAGATTGCTGTTCTTTTTTATTACTTATTTAACAGTATAAAAATATTCCAGTAAAAAAGTAAAATATACTACATAAATGCTTTTTAAAAACATTTTTTCTTGTAATAACTGCTACCATTTTCTTCTATTTCTGTACTATCAGATAATAGCATGTCTTATTGTTTCCTAACTTGTGACTACTTTGCATTATAAAATTAATTTCCTTTAGTAGTCAAATGTATAGTCTATTGCAGAAGGGAAAAATAGCAAAGATAGTGTGCCTTTGAGACCTCTTAGTAGCCTTTCTTGCATTTAGGTAAATTTAAGCACTTTCATCCACTACATGGAAGTGGTACAGTTCTGCACAGCCCACAACAGAATCAACATGTTCATCTAAAACTTCAGAGCTTTAGAGCTGACATATCCTCTGAGTACTTCTGGACTTTTTTTCTACAGAAGTTTTTCATCTTCGTCTTACAGCATAACACTTGCAGGAATCCTTTATTTACCATTTTTCAATACAGATTGAGACTTCCTTGTATATGGAATGTTTAAGGCTGTGTCTGCTCATTGCAGCTGTTGAGACGGCAAAGCCACCTAGTGTTTTTAGATAAGAATTGTGGTTATGAAAATGTGTAAATTTGTATGTAAACATGTAAGTTTGATAAGCATACAGTGTAAAGTCTATTTTTTGTTAGATGTTGGCTGATCAGCTGATATATAAGACTGAAGCAATGCAAACTTTTCTCCATATTACAGGGTTGTGGGGAGCAATGGATACAAATCTGATCCAGATTTGAAATACCTATATGATTCCTGGCAGTAATGGGAAAGATGTATTTCTTTAGATTTCCAGTAGCTCAGAGTAAAATAGTCTAGAATTGCTCAAATAAATTGTTCATTCAAAAGAATTTAAAACATTTCTGTCAGAATATCTTTACTGCAACTTATAACATTTTATTTCTTATTCTTTGCTGGCAGATATTGTTCATAGAGATCTAAAACTGGAAAACATTTTAGTTAAAAGCAGTGACATTGATGAAGCAAATGAAATGAAATTAAACATAAAGGTAAGACTACAATTGTAGCAGTTCTGCCTCTAGCACCAATTTTAATCTCCAGGTATTCCTGCGGACTTGACTTCAATAACCTATTAGCAGCTTTTCAAATGAGCAACTAAATAATGTTATTAGGGGGGGAAAAAGGCATTTTGGAAGCTAAGAAACCGTATTTTACTTATCTAGGTCTATATTAGGATAGTTCCAAGCCATTAGCTGCAGTAAGTCAGCAGGAACTGTAAGATGTAATTAATTCTGAAATTATCCATATTGTAGATCTATTAGTAGCTTAGAAAAAAAAAGACCATTTAGGTTATGCTGTTGATTGACATACAAAATATATCACAGGAATTTTTGGATATCAATAAATTTTTCCTACCCAAGCACAATATGCCATGTGCTTACACATTGTTTTCGTTGAAAAAAATGGTTCTTGATGCTTAATAAATCACAGTATAGTTATCTGCTACCGACTTAGAGTTTTTTGAGACCGCTAGTGTTAAGGCCAAGGTTCACACTGTCCTGTTTTTGCCTGTGAGGTGCAAACTCCCTGAATCTTTATGATTCTCTTTTTGGCCAGGAAGTGCAGAGAGGGTTATAAGTGAAGCCCAGACACAGACACCTCCTGGTATATATATGTATTTTAAAACTGTGCTATTCTACCTAAACTCCTTTTTTAAACTATGCTATTCTGTGCAAAATCTTTTTTTAAATTCTTGCTGCTGCAAGAAAATTAATTTCAGTCATCTTAAACCAAAGCACAAGTTACTCTACTTTTTTAGCTCAAATTGTGTAATCTTACCTTTGAATGGAATGTTGGTGTTGTCTCTAGTGTCTGTTTCAGACCAGTAGAACCACACATAGAAAAGAGCCTCCAGCAGAGGAGGTTTTCCTTTTTCATCCTCTTTTCCTTAAAGACCCACTTGAGTGATGGTAGAATCCAGGTCCAGCGGACCAGTCCAATGAACAAGTGCAAATACCTTCATGCAGTGTGAGAGGAGATGCATATTTCAATGGACCAGAGCTGTTAACTCATTGAGTAGTTGACCCTGAAATGCTGCTGAGAGAAAAGAGGAGGGGAGTCTTGTTGTTTTGTTGCTTTGCCCCTTGCCAAGGATCACCTCCCTCTTGGGTGGGCACCCTGGGGACATATTTTCAGCCATTTCTCTTTCCTGCTGCTTCATGTCACTGCTGCAAGGAAGGGATGGGTACATGGACTGTTGTCCCGAATTGCCCATATTTTTTGACAATCTGGGTTTTGTTCAGGTTCTTTGCAAGCAGCACTCTGATTATCAGGGCTTTTGTTTCTCCTGACCTTCTAACTTCTGTCTCTATCTCTGCTTCCCCTCAGCCTTGTAGTGTCTCTGTCTTCCGTATGGTTTTTGTTTTTTGTTGCTTTATTCACAGGAAAGTGTAAAATGATAAATGGGAATTTGCCCAATGTCTTTGGAGGGCACTTGATTTCGTGTGAATTTGAATGTCAAGGAAAAGAGTGTCACAGAAAAAAAAATGCTTAAACAGTGGAGAAGAAAAACAAAAAAGCCTAGAAAAGACAACCATAGTTCTGTAACTTCTACTGATTTTTCTCTGACTTTTTTTTCAGTATGAACCGTGCATTCTAAGGTGAACCAAAGAGAACTTAAAAATCCTATCTTTGCTGCTAGCTTTAATATATATTTTTCTACTAGGTGACTGACTTTGGTTTAGCTGTGCAAAAGGCTGGTGGTAGTGTGTTTCAGTCAATCTGTGGGACTCCTATGTACATGGGTAAGTACAGAGCTCCATACTGCCCAAGTGCTGCAGCTCACTAGATCTTTCCCCATCACAAAGCCATGGGTACTTCTAAGCTCTTCCTCTTCTCTAGAAGGACACTAAGGGGTGGCTGCTGCTGGACCCAAGAATGAGGAGGGTGAGAGACTGATTCAGTTAGGATTATTTTCTCAATTCTGCTCTGAGAAGAGGGAGCTGTGGTGCCTGCCTTAGAAACTGTGATTTTAGTCCTTTAGAAAAATGTCATTTCTTTGTAGCTTCTGTGGAAACTGCATTTTGGATGATACCTCTGTCGAACAACATCATGGGATGATCTTCCTTGTGAAGTAATTATGTTTCCTTCTGCTGTTATTTATTAGCTTTTGTATTTTGAGGAATATATGTCTGGTAGATAAACAGAGTGACTGCATAGATCTTTACATTGCTTCTCAGGGAAGGATAATGAATAGCTTTTATTTTGGTGAGGCTTCTTTTAATAGTCGTGGGTGTTATTTAGATCTGTTGGTTTTGCAGATTGGAGTGTAGATAAATAAGCCTTTGAAGAAAAGAAGCAATGATTTGTTGTGAATAAACTTTGGGTATGTTTGTCTATACACATTCCTTCTTTCTGTTGCTATTCCTGCTCCTTCATTGTTTAAAGAGCTGAACGTATTGAAATAGTCCCATCCTTTATATCCTCTTTGGAGATTCCTGGAAATTAAAGCGCAGACACAACTGACAGCAGATGCTACTGCCCAAAGAATCCGAACTCCAGAACATGCAGTCTTTGCAAATGTGCCCTGCGCGTTCAGTTTGCTGTCAGCTTTAACAGATACTTGCAGTCCACAACCTGATGGCTTTTCCCATTGCAGGATTTCAGTTAACTCACCTGCACGCACGTAGCTGCTAGAGCTGACATAGGGGAAGGTGATGGGGGATGTGCACAGGAGGAAGGGAAATGGAATCACACGGCGCCTGTTGAGACTGTTTCTTGCTCTGCCTATCCTGGGTATGCAGAACAGGTTGCACCCTCCTTTTTTCAGCTGTGTGATACCATGCCTCTCCCGTGGACTTTTGTTCTTCAGGTTGAACAACACACATGTTCCTAGTCCTGTCCCTCATTTCTGGTTTTCTTGTTGTTTGGCTGGCCAGGCTCCCTTGGGCACATAGTTTATTTAAGTGGAATATCCAAAGAGAAACGCAGTACCTAACTGAGACCTTAACCAGTGATTTGGATAGGCTTCTGTGCCAGAAGGAGGGAGTGCTTGCCTTTGCCCCCTCAGAGAGGGCAGCTGTATATGGAGGGTTTGTGCTGGAGCGGCTGGTTGCTGTCACCGTGCCCTGCAGAGGCACCATCAGCTTGTGCTGAAACGTAGCTCCCACTCTGCGTGTGGTTCGTGCCAGCCCTGACCTGCTGCCTGCCCGGCTGCTCTGCACGCACGTGTGCCCGGAGCTGCCTGTGCGGGCGCTCGCCCTCGCTCCTGGCTGGGCTTGTCTTCAGATTTAATAAGCGTGTTCTCTCCTGGATCCCTCAGGTCATCAGTTACAGTAGTGACGTGCCTGAACAGACACTTAGAAAACACTCCTTACTGCAACCTGTACTTTGACCATGAGCAAGAGATAGCTACTTTCTGAGAACAGTCTTTAAAATCACATGTGCGTTGCTTGTGCGGTATTTTCATTGAGAAAATAATATTTTAAAAGTTATGTGAAGCAGAATGAAAAAAAAATCCTAAAATGAGGATAAATGATGCGCAGTGCTCCTCCTCCAGCCCTGAAGCCTGTCAGCCTGTGCTGCAAGGAGGTCTTTTCTTGACAAGTGCATATAATGGCCATTATTTCTCTGTTTTCTTCTAGGCGCTTATTATTTCAGGTGTTTTCTTGGGAATTAAAATGAATGGCATGTATCTGCAATTCTTTGATGCAACCCTTTCCACCCTGTTACAGATAGATGCCCTGATTGCTTGTTTCAGTCCTGCAGTGTTTTGCCTGTCTTCCACAAGTTCGTGAACCAGTAATAACTCTGAGAAGTCCTGTCAGGTTTTAAAATACTCTAGAATTAATTTCATCAGTTACAGTTGATTTAAATTTTTCCAGCCTATGTACTTGCTAACCTTTTCCTTCTCTGTTGGAAGCTGAGGTCTTGCCCCTTTGTCACTGATGTCGATTGGGCCATTCCCTGCTTGCAGCTGATGTTTTCGTTCAGATGGATGCAAGAAGACATTAAATATATTTGCCTTCTGTGCATAATCTCTCAGCAGCTTTCATGGCTGAATGCAATGCCAGTCTCTTTAGTCATTTGTGCTACCCATACACTTAACAGATTATTTCATTCTCACTGAGGTGCCTTGCTGGTTGCTCCGTAATTTTCCTTTGCGAGTTTGTCCCTCTGTGTTTGTTTTCCTTCTTTTCGTATTGCACTTCCTGCATGCTCTGCTCGTGTGTCTCAGGCCTGTGGACGTTCATGATTTAGCCAGCCTGGTGTATGAATACATGTCCTGTTTTTTGTATCTATTCCTTCACAGAGTATCATTCTGGAATTGCAAGCTCTCATTACACACATGGAGATGTTGTAAGGTGTAAGGTTTGGTAGTGCAATTCCAGTGAAATCAAGGGCATTCAATCAGCTGAGAATTTGGCCATTCAGAATGTTTTTTCTGGAGATCGAGCTGTAGGACTTCCCCAGCTTAGTCGCTTTATTTTGTGTAGAATAAGTATTTCACCCTGGTATTAATAGTGTGAGTTACTGCTAGTCTAAAATGTTCGCAAAATAGTATATTAAGTATGAGGTAATATTGGGATTTGTAGTTTTTGGTCAGTTTGGCAATATTAATAATAAAAAGTCTCCTTTGAAGTCTTGATGTGCCACTTATGGTATTATCAAAGTATTAAGTATATTCTTAGTTCCTTTACATAGTCAATAAATGGCTGAAATAAGTTACCTACATAAAACATTAGTAACTGAGGTGACATCTGACCAAACTTTGAGTTGTTGGGAAAGCGCCAAGTAGTCTCTGTTACTAGTACTTCTCTTGGAAAGGAATTAGTTTTCTGTTTCTTCCCGAGACAAAATTATGTTATCCTCATTGATTTTGGAAGTGAAAACCGCAAGTTTTGCTGTGATCTCATGACCACAGTTACTGCAATTTAGGACATAAAAGATCAGTAAATGACCCCGAAGCAGCATGCTTAGCATGTGACTGAAATGGTATAAAGTGATTAGTGAATACGTTACAATATGTGAATTTTTGATCTAGGATATAAATAAATCAGTATGAATATTTTTAGAGTATTTTGGCATTGATTTTGTTCATTATGTGAGATATTCTAGCTAGTAGGTGCAAACAGAGGCCCTCGTGTCTTGCAAATGGTGGATGTTCTTGTGTGCTGCGCTTATTTCGGAGGGACCGGTGAAGCTTGTGTGGTCCCTTGCAGTCCTTCAACAGCCTTGTATGAATACAGCTCTAATACCTTAACTGTGGGGAAAAACAATGCTGAGTTTAATCACACAGCTAATGTCACAGTGTCACCGCCCCCTTAACAGCTAAATGATAAAAGTGAGGACACATCAGCATGAATTGTTAAGGTCTGTACATTATTCATTTAAACATCTGCTGTTGGTTCCTCTTTACATATGGGAATAAATTATACCACATCAGCACATTCTTCATGCTTTGTGTTTAAGCATTTAAAAGTTTTTTTTTGTATTATTAATACTATTTTTTCTGCTTGGTTGGCAGCCCCTGAAGTTATCAGTGCCCATGACTACAGCCAACAGTGTGACGTTTGGAGCATAGGTGTCATTATGTACATGCTGTAAGTAGCTTGTAAAACTGATATAAAATGTACAGACCCATTTATAATACAAGTACTTAACAATTTGGCATTGGAATTGAAAGTAAACCTGTGTGCCAAACCCTAACGAATGACTGTAGTCTCATAATTGCTTGTGTGTAAACATTACAAATTTTTATTTGAAAGTAAAACATACAATGTGTGATTTATGAACTATTTTATAATCCTGAAATAGCATGGTATTACAGGACGTTGTTGTGCAATACTCTAAAACTGGACTGAGAGCTTAAGCGTTTCTTTTGCCTGTGTTGGCTGGAGGTTGGTGAGGGAAGCGAGCTGCGGGTTCCTGCAGTGCCGGTGAAACCCTCGAGCGGGTCGCGCAGCCCGAGCCGGCCGGGCGAGGGGGTTTCCCTCGGCACCTCCGCGTGGGGCTCGCAGCGACGACGCTGCGAGGCTGCCGGCTCTCCTCGCGCACCCGCCTCCCTCCTTGGGAAGTCAGCAAAGGCCGGCTGCCTTCCGAGGAGGAGATGGCACTTCCCTGTGTGCGTGTTTTTGTGGAAGTCTTTCATGGCTTGTAAGATTCGTCTTAGCTGCAAAATAACCACTTGTGTGCATGCTGCCAAATATCATCTAAACATAACCCAGTAATTAAAAACAAGATGAAGCAAAGCACATAAACACCTGTTTGGATTATGCAATTAAGACAGAAATAGATAATTAAAAGGTCACATTGTGGGCAGAGGCTCTATTTTTTTGTTTTTTTTTTTTTCATTTTTTAAACCTCTTTCAGTCTTTTTCTGCTCTCAAATGCCTCTAGATGATACTTTAGTTCAAGTGTCTTAGAACATCAACTCTTGCCGTTTCATTTGTTGATGTTTTTGCTGGGCTATGATTCCTTTACTTCTGTTATGTACAAACAATTTCTTTTATAACTGAAGTCTTCGGACACAAGCATGTAGTTTCAAATCTCCTCTTTTGGGGATTTTCTCTGAATTTTCCCCGCACTCTATATTGGTTCCTCAGTTTCTTTTCTGTACAATTAGTCCATTTTTCTTCTTGTGTCAGCTTGATGAAGTGTTTGTAGCTTTGTTGACTTTATTTTGTTTATTTCTAAAATTCATGCTGGTACAGAATGAGTTTTGTCGTTATGCTTCATAGTATGAATGTTTGCATTGCAGTAGTAGGATTTGCACAGCATAGTACAACAGAAAATACTATGAAATGGGCACTTAAAATGGGCTGGTTTCATTGGCTAATAAGCAGCCGGAGCAGCGGCTGCCGTGGGCACATTTCCCAGCTCAGAACTTGGGACATGCCAAGCAGTGACCTGTGCTGATGGCAGGACCTGCTGCCTTAATTAGCAGTATAAATATATTTGAAAATTAGCATTTTGTAATCACAATAGTGTCAGAACAAAGTAACATTAATTCACCCCTCGTTGTGTCTGCTACACAAGAATGAAAATACTGCGTGTGAATTAATAGAGTACAATTCACACTGCTTTTTATGGCTTAATTTGAAAATAGTAATACAAAAGCCATAAGATCATCTTCTGATTTTAATTCTGTTTTTGCAAATTACTTTTCTTGCTCTCCTGAATAATGGTACGTGCTTGTGGTGCTCCCCTAAGGGGCCTGAAGGTGCCGTGAGGGCCGCGGCCGCCCCAGCGCCGCCGTGCCCCTTCCAGGCTGCGGTTCGTGGGGAGCAGAGCCCTGAGGTGACTCGAGAGCTCCTCTTCCCGTGAATGCTGATAACGCCCAGGGCTGCCTCTGCGTCGTGGCGCAGTGCCAGCGTGTTCGGTTTTTGCATGTAGCTTAAATGGAGGTGTGCTTTATATTTTCCATTTCATTTCTATGTTAATGCATGCTAATGGAAGCATAAGCAATAGTAACTAAAAAAAAGAAATCCATTAAAATACGGAGGTCTTGCAGCAGCCTGGTGGAGCAGAGCAGCAAGCGCCCTGCTGCCTGGCGCGCTCGAGAGCGTGGCCCGGGTGCTGGTGTCCCAGAGGAGAGGAGCCCACGTGTGCTGCAGGGTTTGCAGCCCTCTCCAGCCTGTGCCTAGAGGCCTTGGCCCCTGGAAGACTCCTTGGAAACCTTCCTGCAGCCGGGCAAGTCTCATGTGCCTAACACGTTGCTTCCTACATTGCAGTAGTAAGAAACCGGCTAAGAAAACACGTGACTTTGTTACTTTTTAAAGACAGGAGAATTTCCTCGCAGATTTGCAGGGTGCTCTGTGACGAACTTCCCCTGCTTACCCTGAGGCCTTTGGCTGAGTTACCGTTGTCTGCCCTGGCTTCAGCCTGGACAGAGCCCAGTGCCCCCCGCGCCGGCCGAGCAGCAGCAGCAGCAGCAGCGTCCCCAGCGCTGGCGCGCGGGGAGGGGGGCGTTCCTGCCACCTCCACGTCCGTGCCCTCGTGTCCCCGCGGTTCAGTCCACAGGGACGTGGCCAAGGAAAAACGGAGGGTAAAGAAAGGGTCAGTTTTTGTAAAAGTAGTTCTGAGGTTAAAAGTTTGGGGAGAAATGTGCTAGAAAGCGAGTTTTTATGTTTTACCTTAAAATTAAAAATTGAAATAATGTAAAACAAATTCCACAGTATTTTTGTCTTTTAATATAAAATGACAGACATCCTTCACTAGGATGTGCCAGCTCCATTTTTTTCCTGAAGCTACTTCTGTGTTTTGAGAGTAGAACTGAAAACATAGTTTGGTGCAAGTAATGTATTTGATGAAATTAGGCTCTTCTGCGTTTTAAATGGCCACAAATAGATGGATTCATTTCTTGAAAGTATTTGCTGTGTAATTTCTGCATGTCAGTTGTGCGTGAGTGGTTCAATGTAAGATCTTTTAGAAATTTAATCTGTCTTTATTAGTTTTGATTGAAAACACAGATCACATGATAGGGCTTTTCATTCACAATGTGATTATAGTAGAACACAGATCAATATTTACTTTCAAAGAATATTCTCTAATAATCATTTAGAGATGATGGTTCTATTGGTAAATGGTAATAGTTACAGAAACCAAATAAAAAAGAAATAGAAACACTGCATTTGGTGTTGCCGCAAATATTTTCTTAGGAATGCATTTAGTTTGTTTTCATATATACTATATCTTTATTGCTACTATTGGCATAAATGAAGCAGAAGATGCAGAAAGAATAATTGATTTAACAGACATTTTGATACCACAATTGCTTAAATGCTTAAATATTTTACTCAAAATAAGGACTACATTGCAAGAGTGCAGTCAACGCCTATTTTTAAATGTATGTGTACTCCTTGTATGGACAGTCGAGGTACCTCTTGGAATCTTTCTGATGTTTCCAATATATTTTCTATTTATTTTTTAAAAATTTATATTTTATTTTTATGTATATTATATATACATATTTTATATTTCTACTGGTCTCATAGTTTAGATTATGCCAATTAAGGTAATGTTTGCACTATGTAGCTAAAGGAGATGGTGTTTGATATGATAACAAAAAGCAATAAATTAAAAATGAGGTTTTCCCCAACTGATTTTCTGCTTTTTGTTTCTTCTTTTTCTGAAAAGCAAGTTTTTGTAATATTAAAGCACATTTTTGTAATATTAAAGGGATATATCTGTTTTCCCCTCAATGACACTTGCTTTGACCTTGAAGAAAAAAGAAAAAATTTTTCCCCAAAACTGTAGACTGAGCATTGACTAATACATAATTCCTAGATTTTAAGATCTTGGGACTGATTCCGTTACTCTTTGAGCACTGCAGCAATACATGTGACTTAAGGACACAATGATCCACTGTGTATTACTGATTTGACTTTGTAAGTAAATTTTATTCTACAATCTGATTTTATCAAGTAATTCCCATTGAATTGGCTCAGTTCCTTATTGAACTGAGCCAATGGCCTGTAGTTGATCCAAAAAGTGGTGTTTAGGAAGATAGGTATTTGGATTTAAATGCTTAAGTTGGGATAAATGTGTTGTTTCTTCTTGTTGTTTCAGTTCTGATTGTTATAAATTCAATGGATCTGAAAGTGTGTGTGTGGAGGGGGCATAGATTAGTGATAGTTATTATTGAAAAGTAATGGGTGTTGGCTTTGATTTTTTTGTAATGGAAAGTAATATTTTGGCATAAAGCAGATAAAAAAGAACAGTTAAGTGTGAAGTGTTCATAGTAAACAAGTCCCGTGACAGAAGTGCTACACGTGACTGTGGGTTAGCTTCCAGTTAACCCGGGCACTTGGATGAGTGAGTTACAGAACAGCAAAATACCGTATTTTCAGTTTAATTTCATTCTTTTCCTTCTAGTTCGTATTTTCAGCTTTAAGTTGGATCTTTTTATATCTTTGACTCTTAGTATAAAAATCCATATAGGATCAATTATCTTCCTATGTGGATACGTAGTGACCAAGACCAAATCACCTTTTAACCTCATAACCTCTTTCCCTTTTTTTAAATCTGAGTGACATATTTTTCAGAACCTGAGTCACTTTTGTGGAGTTCTTCTAAAGCTTTAGCAGTCATCCTAACTTCTTGATTTCGCAGGGATCCAGTAATACATAGTTTTTGCCTCATTGGTGAGAAATAGTCGGTTTCCATTCACTGACCCTGATTTTCTTGCAGACTGTGTGGTGAACCTCCTTTTATAGCAAGCTTAGAAGAGAAGCTTTTTGAGCTAATAAGAAAGGGAGACCTGTGCTTTAAAAATGCAGTTTGGGAAACAGTTAGTGAGACTGGTAAGTACATAATGCTCTCACAAAACAGATGCTGATAGTATTGCAATAAATTCCACAAATGTAGTTTTGATCTCTTTTTTTTGCCTTTAAGTAGCGTGCCTTTTCTGAAAAGTGAAATTGATGCTAAGAAATAAGTTCACATAAATGATATCATCAAATAATTTCATAGCATTGTAAGTAAAATATTCTCTGCTGAATTAAAGCACTCAGTCGAAAGTGTATTGAGTTGTATTGTTAACGGAAATGAGATGTATCAAAGAGTGTTTTTTTTTTTTTTCCCTAGCAAAACAAGTATTGAGACTACTTCTGAGAGTAGATCCTGCTCACCGAATCACAGCTAATGAGTTACTGGATAACCAGTGGATAACAGTGAGTTTTGAGGAATTGCATTTGTTCACCTCGTCCTCTACGCCATACTTCCCTGGCCTTGTATGTAAGGGTGTTGTGTTGCTTCTGTCCAATCCAGTAGGGTGAAAAATTAAAACAACAACAAAAAAACAAGCAAACTGTAAGGACCTTATCCACAGCCTCCAAATCGGCATGTTTTGTTTGTATCACATGGGCCTCTGATCAGTTCAGTAAGTAGCAAAAATGTCCTGCTGCCTGACACCGAAACCTTTATCCAGACCCACTTCACCTGACTTTGCACATGTTTTAATATGGAAATATGGGTTCAGGTCATGTTTAATTAATTCTGACAGTATTCCTGTAACTACAGTAATTTCTTTTTTCTTTCCAATTTTGCAAACAGAGGGATTGAGTTACAGGGAAATTTATCTTTGTTGAAGGCAAGAGAGTTGTAGTTCTAGGAAGGGACCTCTGAGTTCCTGGCTGGGTGCAGAACATGGTGCTGTGCTGCTCACTGAGATTAAATCAGAAGGAATGGGTATGTTTGCTGCTGCAGTGTAACACTGATGATAGCAGACCTTAATTTCTCCTGTAGCAGGTAGGAAGAGATGTGTGTGTGAATCATTTAAAAGTTCTGATGTGTAGGAGGATAGATCTCTGTTGTTTAAATGACCACTGATTTTTCCCTCACACCTTCATCTGCAAATGAACCGTTCTGGACTAGGATACTCATCTTTCTTCTTTCCTGCTAATTGACTGTAGATGAAGAAAAAGGTTTTTCTCCTAGTTTCCATGAATCCTTGTGGCAGAGAGAGAAGTGACAAGCTAGTGTAACTCTAAAAAGGCCTGAAAAAGGAGACAGTATTCATCCCAGTTCAGCCCTGCCATGCTATGAGTACCTTACTGTTCTTGCTTGGTTAAGCTGCAGGTGTGGAAAACTACCATTCCTGTGATTTTTTTTTTTTTTTTTTACAACTTGCCACCACATACATTTGTGAAGTTTGTGAGTGAATTCCAGAGGATAATAGAAGTACATATAGAAGGTAAAACCTTGTAGTAATTCATAATAAACCATTTTGTATTGTGTATCCTGTTTATATCATACATCAGTTCAGGCATGGTAGATTCTACCTTACTATGTTTTGTTTGAAGAAAATGTAGGTTGTAGCCCAGTTAGCTACAAAGTATCTACAAACTCGAGACCACATTAGTTGCTTTTCATTGCACTTCCACAGTAACTGTGCGACGCCTTTGAACATGAGTTTTAACGCAGAGCAATAATTTAGATTCTCCATCAAGCTTGGACGTGCACAGAGGTTGAGACGTTGCTGCTGCAGCCTGAATGTGACCGGATCCCCTCGCGCCAGGGAGCCCCTGTGCCGCGCTGGGTGACGGGCAGCATCGTGGGCCCCTGTGGTGGGAGATGAAGGCGGTCAGAAAGGAGCTGGGCAGGGACACGGAATCCACGTGTCCCTCTGGCCGCTCTCTTCCTAGCACAGTTTAAAGCTGCTCCCTTAAGGGCGAACTGTGTGGACCAGACAGGGCTCCAGGCAGCAATACTTCCTTCCCTCCGGCTTTCCTGTACGTGGCTGGTCAGCATTTCCTCTTGCTGCGGAACTGCCTGGAGACATTTTGGTCTCTAAACCACCATTTCTGTGCTAGAGCTCGAGGCTCTGCGCACCGTTCTGAGGTGCAGGGCACCGAATATGCGTCTGAGAGCAGCTGGGCAGCTGTTGCGCCGGGCTCAGGGTGCTGCATGGGGGTCAGTGCTGCATCCTCGACCCAGGGCCGCTCGTGCTCCTGCGGGGAAAAGGCCGCTGCGTTGGGCCAGTTTCCATCAGTACGGAAGGGGCTGGCTTAGCACTCCCGTTACTCCATGCATTCCTGTTGCTGTGCAACTGAGATTTTATTAAATCAATTACATCAATTTGTTTTATATAAGGAGCTAAGAACATCCAAATGGTTGTATGAGTTGTATAGAAGATCTTTCTTGTGTCTCTGTCTTGTATCTTCAACAGGGGTCAAGACCAGATGCCTAGACAGGCGTTCGGTGCTGGGATGTTATAGCAGTTTTCACTCACTTGTTGGTCGGGGTTTCCTGAACCAGAGTTTGCATACTAAAATTTGGTTGACTTTTCTAATTTGTCCAAACGTATCGAACTCATAATTAATCTGCGGTAAAGAATTGCACAGTCTCACTGGGTGGCAGTGATGGGGAGGCTCCCTTGCTGCTTTGTACCTTCCACCTGCCCATTCCAGCAGAAGCTCCCAGTTGCTGCACTCACCTTCTCCGGTGCTGCTGCTTACGGTTTTCGTGTGCATCACTTGCTGAGATGTTAGCAGTGCTAATTAAATACATTTCAATTTCTAGTAAGAAACTTCTAGGAAAAGAAAAAAACTTCAAAGAAAGTTTTTAAGAGGAGCGCAGGGGGAAGAAACCCTTAAGTGGGAAGCGACGCTGGGCAGAGCTGCCTAATGGCCCTTCCTAGGATGCCTTAACAGAGCCTGGTTTCCAGAGCCCCCGAGCACCTGTGGCTCCCGCCCCCTCTCAGCGGGACCTGCAGGTACTTGGTACCACCGAAAAGCGGGACGTGGTTCCTGCCGCGCGCCTGTGTGTGCGTCGCTCCGGTGCTTTTGCTATAGCCCGACGGGGAGCACCAAAGTGCATTATCATGTAGAGAGTTCTGCGTGTAGAAACATTAACCCCTTGGTGCCGGGTGACACAGGGCTCCTGCACCGCCGTTAATGCACTTGGCACCGCAGCCTCCCGCCAGGAAATCTCTACCAGCTGTACCAAAAATTTTATAAAGTCGCAAGTCATTCTGTATAATTAAAACTGACATTTTGGACATGGATGCAGCAGAACTTATTCCAGAACTATACTGTAACAATAGAAATTCTCCTTTAAAAATTACAACGTACTTATAGCTAAAGAAATGACCTCACGCTCTGTTTTAGTTAGTGGTTCCCTCTAGAGATTTACGTGTTGTCAGTTTGAGACCACGTATAGTTTTGGCCGTGGGCTATGCAAAGAGTTGGTGATCAATTATTTACCGGAAATACTAATTAAGGCAGTTCTGTTACTAGTTTGGATTATTCTGAGCTTTATACCTGTTACAAGTTTTGCAGGCAAATTTAGCTTCTTACAGAAGAGACCGCGGGATAGCAGAATATCGTTAGGAAGGGCAAAGGTCATATTACCAGGAGGTTATTTCTGTATGATCTGCAGAAATATGATAATACTTATTAAGTATAATACTTACGAAGCACAGAGTAAACCTTATTTTTCAAGGACTTTATATGGATGCATACATCTTGTTTGGTACCATAATTGCCCGTCAATTTTTTAAACTAGATGCTTTAAAGCATGCTCTAGTCCATTTTTTTCCTCCTAATATTACACGTTGGATGGATCACGATATATTTTAAGAATATTCTATCTCTTTTGCATAACTTCCAACCAATAAACATGTAGCACTTTCTTGGGGCTGGGGTAATGGAAGATGGTGTTATCCCACAGGTAGCCAGGTGGTTTTGTTTCTGTTCTTGTTTCCTTTCCTACTAATTTTCTTCTGCTTGGAATAACTTTTGGGCATGTTGAAAGTGAACTCTGATTTAAGCTTCCTTGTTTATTGCTGCAATTTTTGGTGACATTTGTGAGTATATGAGTCTGCTTGATTAGAGAGTGGAATCCCATTCCTGAATATAAAGTTTATGTATGCAGTGAGATTTCTTGCAAGCAAACGAATCGCCCAAAAAGCAAAAAAGTCCCTTGTGTTCTGATTTATAACCCTAGTTTGGCAGGGAGCATATATGTACATTCTGTTTTCAGATTATTTAAGCATGTTTCCAAATTTATGCCAGGATTTTAAAAATTTGGTCTAACGAGGTACTTGGGTACTTTCCTTTCTGGAAATAAATCTTCTTGGGGCTCTCCCGTGGCCCGGAGGAGGAGACCTGTCTGCTGAGATTTCCACAGCTTCCTGCGCGCCCGGAGCTCCCGCCGAGGCGGTGCTGGGAGCTCGGAGCCCACGTGCAGCCCCAGGCCTGCAGCAGTCCACGCTGCAGGCGCTGAGCGATGCCTGCACCTGCAGGACGCAGCCGCGGGGCTCCCGCACAGCGTGCGCTGGAGATGCCGGCGCTCTCCGAGCAGCTGCCGGAGCTGCGGTCCCTGCGTCGTGGCCGCGTGGGAGGAGCAGCAGGCGACAGCGCAGGAGCCCGCAGGAGGGCAGCCTGGCCCAGGAGCGCGACGCTGCCCCGCGCTGCAGCCTCGTCCCCGCTGCAGGGCGTGCGTGTGGGGAGAACCGCAGGGGCTAAATGTTAGGAACACACAGGGATTTAATATCTCACATGCACCTTAGCTTTGTACAAAATACGGATCTTGAAACAACTTCTTCTTCCAGTACAATAATACATTCTGCTTTCATATCTCAATAAAATAAAAGGCAGTCGCACAATGCACTCCACAGTATTTTTCTAATACACAGGTTCCCTTTTGTTTTTATAATCTATAATTACCTGCTGGTTTATTGCTATCCTTGTAACTTTATTCCATTCTAGTTATCTTAACATTTAGACTTCTAGTTTCTGTGGATCAGAATCACCTTTTTTAAATTGACAGTTGTACCCAAGATTTCTTTTAACTAAATTAAGAGCATTTGTCTTGCCTGCTTTCTTGATTTTGCCTTTTCAGAACAAAGCTAAAGACAAGTGCTCCATTTTGCCCTCTCTGTGGTTATATTGATTTTCATTTTCAAATCTAGGACTTCTCTGAATTCATCAAGACATTTCTCTGCCTCTGCCAGCTTCCCTTATGACATGAGTTTAAAATTTTTTTTAAGTGTCCTGTTCTTCCATTTCCTGCATATCATACTAATTTGAAGGCTGTTCTCTTTACCTTTAAAATACTCTAACTATTTCAGCAGCATGTTTATTTGGGTATGAATGTTAGATAACAAATCAAGAATTTTATCAGTTTTGTTACATGCTCTTGGTTTACCAGTGTTACTTAATGCCTTGTTTTTTTTCCCCCAAGATCCTTCATGTAGCACCTAAAATACTCTGTAAAGAGAAAAAGTTCACTTCAGCCGCTCCTCTGTGGTGATTTTCACCTGGCGAACGCGCCGCTAGGATCAGCATAGTCCAATGGAGACTGTATTTTGGGAACGATGATGTTTTCAAGGAGAAAATACTTTCCTGTCTTTTCCATAAATAGTTGGATATCTCAGAATTTCTTTCTTGAGTCCTGCTAAAATTTACTTCCTAAAAATTGAGCAGGAAAAAGCTGAAGTAGAAACAAAAGAAACTGAACCAGTGGAGCCTGTCAGTTGGCAACCCCATCCTTGTGCCTGCAGTTGGCTTCAGAGGCCGCTGAATTAAACTCAAGAGGTGTTCAAATGAGCCGGTGCAGATAATTAACCTGAGTGGCTCCATTTTCTAAAAACTGTCAGGAACGACCTCCCTCTCCTCCTTTAGTGGTGCACAGTTAGCTGGTGCTCTGCAAGGCCTAGAGCTTTTCGAAAGGCTTAAACCCAACCTCTGGTTTTGTGGGAGCAATTCACTGCACTCCGCATGTTTAACTACATAATTGCTTTTGCATAGGAGGTAGTTAAAACCAGTGCTATCACTTTTGCCCACAGTTATCATAGATGCAAATGTAAATTTGCATCTGCAAAAAAATGAGTTTGATTTTTAAAATCAAATGCTACCTTTCTAATGGACATAAATGTTTCTTCCTTGATCATTTGGTACATACATATGCATTGCCATCTATTTAAGGAAAGGCCTCTGTCCTCTGCCAGCGGCAGCCTCCTCTGTGGGATCCCCTGTAAAGCTCAGACCGGTCTGTGTAAGCTCTGGTTTCTGTGGTGCCGCTGAACACGCCGTGTGCTGCAGATAACAAACTATCGAGGAACTGTGGAGTTCAAAATCCCTCCCTACTGCTAGCGAAAGAGATCTCCGAGATCCTTGGAAGTTTGGTGACTGTAACGTGAATTGTTACATCTTAAAAATGATTAACAGGCAGCTCTGGCGTGAGAACAAGCTTTGCACGTACTGTGTGCACTTCCCTTGCTCTCCTGAACTTTCAGACACATAATTGCCAATGTCACTGAATCACCAAAGGAGTTGGGAAAAAAATATTCCAAATGGTATCGAGTGAGCAAGGATGACAGAAGCCCAACAAATCTAACAAGAAGTATTGCCTGTGTGAATTTTTACTTCTGAATCCACAGCTGGTTCAATATCCTTTCCTGATCAGGCTACGTAAAATGGAAATGTTTTCTAGATGATGTGTGCACAGTCTCTAGCCAAAAGAAATACTGATGGATGCAGAAACAAGGGCAGTGCAAACACCCCAGAGCAAGGCTCTGGCTCTCTGGTTTTGCTGCTATTGTGGCTGTTAGAGATAAGAAGAATTTGGGGATGAAAATTCCTCTGCAGATTTTGGGGATCCATACTTGAAGGGAATTGTAAAGGAAAGCTCTTTGTTCCTGGCATTAGTGAAGATGTGGGAAGTTAGGACTGTGTAAGAGACCATCACGGAAAGACCGTTTCTGAGAGTGGATTAAGTGTATGGTCTGTAACAAGCAGGGCCACCACACTGGTTTTATTTTTTTAATAATATGCCCTAGATTCAGTAGAGTCAAATATTAATAAAATCTGTTCTTATGTCTAGGGTGACACACATGCTGTCCAGAGACCATGTAATGTCTTGGAGTTGATGAAGGAGTGGAATAACAATCTGGACATCGGTGAAATGTGCAGTGTAGAAGAGGAATCAAATAACCCAGCTGCTGCCTGCCAGCAGGGTGAAACCAGCAGAGCACAGGAAAGCCCTGCCAGGAGCAACGGGAACGTGGCGCTCGGTGCTGACGCAGAGGATGGGGGCAGCAAACCCTCCGCGGCAGCAAAGCAGGTGAGGCTGCAGGCAGGGTTTAAAAAATACATGGCAAAGTAAGTGGGAAGTAGGATTAAGAGTGAAGTAGGAAGCGTTGGGCGGTACCTGGTGTGAGGGACAACAGCTGGTGTGTGGTCAGATACTTATATGTAATGTAAGAATCACAATAAGTATTAGGATATAGGGTACAGTCTGCGCTGCACAGTGTCGCTTAAGCGCTGTGTACTTCAGGAATCCACCCTGGCCCAGATGCCTGGAGTCCCTAACATGTTATGGCTCCTGTTCATTCTCCTCAGGTGTAGGTGTGTTTTTGCAGGAATGTGACAGAAAAAAAGTAGTATCTTAATACAGCAGTATGCGGGGCAATGAAGAGGACTCTTCTATAGACCGCTCATATATATTCCCTCTGAGCAATATAAGTAGCCATCTTGTAATGCTAATGGGTGGGGGAAAGAACAGAGAATGATGGTTCATAGGAACAAAATGTATTAAACCACTAGTGAAAACAAATTTGGGATAGTCATTTGATTCCTTTAGGCAATTGCCCAAGAAACTGACTTTTATTTCAGTGCCTCTCTCAATCCTTCAGCTGAAACAAAGAAAAAACACAATGAAAATACCAAGGATTCTGCATTAGCTGTGACCTGTAAGGCTCCTCTCAGTCACCAGACAATAAGCCCTGCCACAGGCTGCAGGCATTACTGGTAATATTGGGTGGGTTCTGCTTTCAGAGTGGGTCTACTTAGCAAAGAATGAGCTTCTGATACGAAGCAATAATAACTTTTAGCCCTTCAGGAAGTATAAATCATTATTATGGTACTAACATCACCTATTCCTACCAAATGAAGATGTGTACTCAAGAATATTCAGCTGTTCTGATAGCTTTGTCTGTCTTTCCAAAATAATATATCTTAAAGCAAGCTGAGTAACTTGTAGACCAGAGTGTAAGTCTGGGCCCAACCGAGACCCCTAATAGGCTCGTATACAGGCTGAATTTTAACCACAAAACAGACCAGAGAAATAAATACCAAGTGACATTATCATACTTACAAAAGATGAAGATACATTTTAAAACTGTATTTGAATATTGTGATGAATTGGTAACTGTGATCTTGATTCAGAAGCCTAGCTAGTGAAGATTAAAACCAGAGATGTATTTGTATACAGTTGATAAAACAAGAAAAATCATCTCTTAAAGGTGGGCTTTAACATTTAAAGGTAAGAAGCTTCTGTGTACCATAAAGAGAGATTAAAATATCTTTTATAATGCAGGTCTTTTGTTTCTTTATGATCTTATTTTTGCATATTTTTATGATATATTCTAAAGTAGAGTTTAACTGTCATAATATTTTATTATTGTTCTCTGCTGGACTGCTTTGTTCGTATTTGTGTTGTTCCAACCTTTCCAGTGAGTATTAAGAAAAATAGTAGTCTTTAATTGTGTTGTTTTGAATTATAGTCCCCTGCAGGTAGGTCAGCATCTCCAGTATCAATTGCAAAGCGGAATCTGGAGTGCCAAGAGAAGAGGGGAGAATTGGACAAGTCTGTAGGGCCTTCAACGCAGGGACCGGGAAATAAAAACACACCGAAGCCTTCGGCCACGCTCAGAGCCAAAAAGAAGTCATAGGACATCCTTCAGCTCTGAGTGACTTCAGAGTAAACAACTATTACTTGTGCCAAAACAAGCAGATTTATAAGGATGGACAAATATTTCCTGAACTGTTTGCCTCTTTATTTTCTTGAACCCTTTAATCAGAAAGCTTTAGCTTTCCTTCAACACTGAAGAAAATCGAACAGCAGTGTGAACTCCTAACCTGTAAGAGGACATCGTCTGATAGTATTTCTCTAACAGTACAAATTATAGAATTGTCTAAAAATGTATGTAATTTATTTGTTCTCTTCTAACAGGCACCATGCCAGGTAGGCAGTTTGCTTTCCCAAATCCATTTTCCTGTGTTTTACTTGCATTTCTTAAGTTTTGTCACAAACATCTAAGGGGAAAAATGAGGATAGAATCTGTAATAGGGATTCCTGATAACTTTGTACTTTGAGAATATTCTAGGAAATTGCTTATACATTTGCTATAGGCATTACTGCACAGGTGCTTCAGTCTGGAATTTGTTCCTGCTATTTTAGGTTGCTGTCAATTGCTTATTTTTAAGCAGAATTTATTTTAAGCTTGACAAATGGGAGATGTGTTTTTAAGTACAATGGTATTGCTGTGGTTCTTGCTACAGAATTTCTGGTGTGTTGATTAGGTTCTTTAAATAAAACAGGTGTTAGAATAATGGCCTTTAAAAGTTAGTTAATCTTCATTTTTAAAAGGATGAGCTACTGTTAAGCTTAGGTTCTTTATACATATATATAAAATACCATGGATTTACCATTTCAAGATGGTACCATTCTCTGAAGACAAATCTTACTTGTAGCCTGGCATTGTGGGAGCAAAATGTACACACTCTTTGTTTGTTAAGAACAGTTTCCTACAATATATGCACGTTCTGTGTTAGTACTAGTCGAGTACTTCTGCTGAGAACGTGAGTCTGAGCAGATGCCAACTGCTTAGATCTGCCCCATTCTCCACAGTAGCCTTAATGTTCCTCTTACAGTTGTTCCAGCCTTGATTTTATTTAAGCATGAAGTCATTTTATTAAAAAAACGATTATTTCTTTGCAGATACCTCAAAACTTGGAGAGACTTTATTTACAATAAACTAATTAGGAGCTTTTTGTCATGATGTAGTATTAAAAGGGTAACACATCACCGTTTCTCATGGAGGAATGTATGTATAATTGGCACCTTTTCAGAATATTGATTCTCTAGTTTGTGTTTTTTACCAAATGTGGCCAGCTGAAGAAGGTCGCAGATTCCTCCACATTTCTGTCAGCATGCAGTAAGAATTTCACCTCAAGCAGGAAGTGTTGTTTTTGTTGAGCAGCCGAGTGCTCTCTGTGGCGCGCGGTGCTGAGGGCACAGGCAGCCTCCCTCGAGCGGCGCTTGGCCAGACCCACGATGTGTTGGGGACCCCAGCGGACGTGCTAGGAGGTGCCACCACTGCTGAGCTCTTCAACCAAGGAGCCTTGAAAACACCCTGCTTCACAGCAAAGGGTTATGCCATTTTTACAGCACTAGCAGAATACAGTGTAATTTATTGTAGGAAGCAGCTACTTGCCTGGCTAGGTGTGCTCTTCTGTCCTAGCAGTTTTCTCTTTCTCAGTAGAGCGTCCGATGCTTCAGCAGCTCTCGTGGCCAGCTCCGCAGCAGAGTTGGCGGTGATCCCAGCTGCCCGGGTTGCGCTCTCCTTCCCTCCTCGCTCTGCGGTTCTGGACCCGGCTCGTCCGTGCCCGCTGCGCTCGCGCGGCGCCGGCTCTGCCCGTCCCGCTGCGGGAGAGGCCGCAGGGAGCCGGGCGAGGAGCGGCTGGGAGCTCTGTGCCGCAGAGCCCAAGAGCAACGGCCCTCCCCAAAGCTGGGGAAGAAGCTGCCCTTGTAGCAGTGCCTGCTGGCAGAAAACCTCCTGCTATATAACACAGAGTTCTTATTATAAGCTCCATGCATTTTTCCATTTTCTTTGTTATCCTTTTCTTAAATGCCTTTTTTCCCCACTCCTTTTCAATGCCTACATGTTCACTGTTGATTTTTTTTTGTCAAAAGATTTTTGTTCTTAAGCAAATCTCTTTCTTGTTTCTCCTTTTGATGTGGCTTTTCTCTGTGTTTCCCTTTCAACCCTCACAGCTTGCTTTAGTCTCTTCACTGTATTTGCTACTTGGAGGAGCCCTATTTAAAAATTAGAAGTAGATTGCGTGGAAATTGCTTATTCCTCCTTGTCCACTAGGACCCCATTTCTCTTCCCCCCTAGTTCTATGAAGTTGACCCGTCCTCAAATGCTCCCTTCTCAACCTCCACTTTATATTACTTACCTTTCTCTCTCTTGCTCTTTCCACTTCATCCTTTCCTTCACTTAACCGCTGCCTGATATTTAACTTCTAAGGCAAAATGAGAGTGCGAGGTAGCATCCAGGTTACCCTGCTGTGCATAAATACTGTAACTCAGCTTTACTGATAAACACTAACTTTCTGACTGTAGCTATATTGGCTTTTTCTTCTTCTTCTTTTTTTTTTTTCTATCAGGCACTCCATAGTGGTAGCTAGGTTGGTAATATCAACTGTAACATCCATATGATAGCCACAATCTTGTATAACCCATTACAGATCAGGTCTATATGACATTGTAATTTAAATGATGGTGGTTGCTGGCAGCCCATTTTTGCTTGTCCTCCTATTATTACAACCACCACTAGAGCTGTTCTACGGGGAAATTTCAAGTGTAGACAAAGCTTTAATCAACAGTAATCTGATCCTTTAAAAATGCAACACCAATTCATTTATTTCTCATTTCACATATGAAATTTTAATAGGTACAATCACCCTTAAGGATGTTTCAAATATTAACATTATGCACAATTTCAAAACAGAACCTTTTTTCTGTATTAAACTATCAGCATCTTTGAACCAAGTAAGTAGTTTTCTGTGCTGGCATCAGGTTTACTATCAATCAGAAACTTATTAACAGCTGTGTTAGCCCTAATTAAGTGCAGAGCAATGGCAGACTTTTTAATTAAGACTTATTTTCCTAAGAGGAGACCGACTGGTGTTTTTTTCTCCTTTGTCTTCCCTACCTCCATCCTTATTTACTGTGTAAAGCGCACATTAAAAATAACTGGGACACAAGATGGGGCCAATGACGTGGGATCAAACACACCAGAAAAGGCTGCCTTTCCATAATGGTGGCATGATTATACTTGGCATGTTTTTATCCATTTGGCTTTTAAAATAATTGCAAGAATTTTGAGCGTTTCTGCAGTGCTTTTCATTTAGTTTTTTTTATTTTAATTCTCATCTGAAGAGGCAAGCGTTAGCACCACG